TGCTTTTGAGTTACGGGAATGGGGTGATGTGTGTGGGCCTCCATTGGCACTCAGTGCTCTCCCCCAGAAACACCCACCCCACAATTATAGACCACTTAGACCCTCAAGCAGAGAGGGAAGTCCCTCCACACCTATTGATAACACAAGTCAAAAAGCAAGGGACCCAGTGATCCTTAGATGAAGTTGACAGAGGGACACAGCATGAATGCTGGGGTTGCCCCCACAGTTACCAGGCCCAGCAAATGGCCAATCAGAAGATCCAGCACAGTGTGTTCAGAACCTTCTGGAAACATATGGTCCTGCGCCTCCTCTGGAGACCTGGAAGCGAGTTGTTTGGCCAGGACCTTTGAGCTGGTTTTTATGAGACCCCCACATGAGCTCACAGATCCCAATCTGACAGCTGGGGAACCAGCATAAGATCAAACAAGGCCCCCTGAACATGGGTGTCAGTTGGGGGGGCTGGGCAGTCTATGCGGCCTGTGGTAGTGGAACCAAGTATTTATCCCTAGTACAGAATGGGCTTTGGGAGCCCATTCCCTATGTAGGGATACTCTCTCAGCCTATATACTCCGGCTCCCTCAGATACCTGCTCTGCCTCTATGTGAACAGGTACCCAACACTGAAGGAAGCTAAGGCAGACAAGGCTCAGAGACCCATTCTGGGCCACCAACGTAGCTCTTTCTTGACCTAAAGCCCACTCCCAAGACAGCTGGAAGGTAGAAGCTGGTGACAGAGAGCAGATAGGTTCCAGGCAAAGGCAGAGCACCATCCCAGCCTTGGGCCAGGGAGGATGGAGATATAAGAAGCTGCTACCTCCCTGCAAAACCTGTCTGGCTCTCGGTCCTGCTGTTCTCTAGTTTGGGCCTATGGTGATGACTGGGATCTCCAGTTGCAGAGGCTCAGTGCTAGAGCCTCTCGGTCCTGAGCTGGAAAATGACCAGGAGCCCTAGCCAGCAGGAAAGCCACCACACAGCAGGAGGTGGGACTGGACCCCACAGGGAAAAGGGCAGATGGGAGCTGGAGAGCCATCTTGCTGATAAATTCTGGGATAGATTCTGCCCCCTGCTGCCTGGAAAGAGATTGGGCAGCAGTCATCCTGGGCTTATGGATTCAATACCCAGTCCCTACTTTTGAAAACAAAGGCAACAGGGCAGCCTGGTGCCACAGCTCCTAACCAGAGTTACCACAGCCTGAAAGGCCACCTGTGCCCCCATATTGTCTTTGTGCCAGATATCGGAAAGCACAGCTTCTAGAAGGTTCTCTGTGAGAGCTTTGTATCCTATGAGAGTGTGTGTGTGTGTGTGTGTGTGTGTGTGTGTGTGTGTGTGTGTGTGTGTGTGTGTGTGTGTGCATGCACATTCCAGTCTGTGCACATGCATGTAGCTGCTAGGGATTGGCATCAGGTGTTCTTCTCGATTGGCATCTACTGTGAGACAAGGTCTCTCAATGAGCCCAGTGCTCACAGACTGGCTGAGCAGGCTGTCTGGCTGTGTCTGGTTTCATATGAATGCTAGGGCTCCGAAAGCAGTTTGCCCACTGAGCCATCTCCCCAGCTCCTGAGTTGTGTTTTGGGGGAGGATTCAGGAACTTCCCATTTTTTATCAATTTGTTTCCAAGAATATTAATAGTGATTTGTCTCTTGTTTGCTCCAGATTCAATAGTCTTTATGGTTCTCAAGGCGCTGCTCAAAGGAAGCAGCTTTGGCAAGTCAGAGGAACCTAACTAAGTCTAATGGGGTTTCCTGAAGTTCAGCCATCCTGTGACGGGGGAATGACAGGAAATGAGCCATGGCAGGTGAGCCTCTGAGGTCCCCTCCTTGGAGTAAAGGAAGCCAGCGACATCTGGCATCATCCAGAGCTATCTGTGCCCACCAGGAGGTGGGCAGAGGTGGTGCAGGTGCTTGTCTGTCGTGAGCCCTGGGTTTCACCAGGAGCTGTCTGCAGGGAAGAGCCTTGGCCACAGTCAGGTGCCACTGTGTGAGCCTATCCCTGTGAAGGGACAGGAATATGTTGGAGAAAGGAACCGCTATGCTGGGGCTAGCAAAATGATCCAGAGGGTAAAAGAGCTTGCCTCAAAAGTCTAAGGCCCTGAGTTCAATCCCCAGAGCACACCATGGAAAGAGAAAACTACTGGAAAGTTTAAGGGAGCACTGTATACACACCCATGCATGTTCACACACACACACACACACACACACACACACACACACACACACACACACACCACACACAGACAGACAAAACAAATTATTTTAGAGAAATTGTTCCATCACCAATAAAAAAGATATCTAAAAGTGTTAAAAAGTCTTTACAAGAGACAAATGTCTCTATTGACTATTAAACCTTAATTAAATGGTTGTTTTCTATTAATTGCTATTTATTTAGGGGACAACAAGAACCCAAGTAAATCTGAGAGATCTCTCTGGCAGGTCTCTGCTTGCTGCTCGTGCCCAGGCGTTAATTATAAGAACCAGGGAATGCTTACATTCCGAAGGCTTTCATCCCAGTGAGTGATGAATAGCTCGCCCGGCACAGGGCAATGGGATCTTTAAGCATTTATCAGAGACTAATGAGGCTCTTTGCACAGCTCTCCTGGCTCTGGTCTACAGAAAGTCACTGGAGGAGAAGCACGGCAGGTGTGATGGCAGAGTTCGTCCATTTCGAAAAGAGATGCAACATCTAGTTCTACTCAGTCCAGAGGATCCTCGTGATGCACATGGTGGGGCCGTAGCGGTTTGGAAACAGGTGTTCTCATGTAGATAGGGGTGGTTCTCAAATAGCTCTTAGGGCACCTACATCTTACACCCCACCTGAGATCAGTGTAGTGGGTTAACTAATTAAAACCGTGTGGACTTCATCACCCAAGGGAGGACAGAACGCCATGGGAAAGACAAGAAGTTTCTCTGGAACCAAGGAACAAATAAAGCCACATGTCCTGCCACCCAAGCTCTATGTCCTTGTAAATGTCCCCATTGCTGCAGCTCCCTGCAAGACGGTTGTAGAGCTCAGGCCCTTGGGCACTTGGGACTGGCCCTCCTGCAGCCCCAGCCTACCCTTAGCCTGCCTATAGCCTGGAGCTGGCCAGGGGTGAGCAGAGGCACTTGGTATAGAGAAGGGCGTGGTCTCAGACCCAGCAGAGCAATCTGTAGGATAGGCATTGTGACATCCTGGAACCAGACAACCTCAAGTGATTGGCCTCATTTTCGACAACCTATAGCATCACGGTCAAGTCATCTGCCTTTCCTCAGCCTCAGCTTCCCTCTTTGTACATGGGTTTGCTGGGGGAGTATGTAAAAAGCAGCCTTTCTAAATGCCACCTATATGACAGAGTTGCCCCTGGAGCAGCAGACATGGGGCCTATGGGCCTCCAGCTCCTCCAGAAAGTGGAGGTTGAGTGGGCACGCTCTGCACCTCAACATCAATGAATTATGGTTTGACATATTTTTTCTTTTCTTTTCTTTTTAAATTGATACAGGATCTGACTCCATACCAGGCTGTCTTCCAACTCTCAGTGACTCCAATGCCTCAGACTCCTGACTGCTTGATTATAGGCATTAGCCACCATGCCTACCTTTAACGAACGATAACAGAGATGTGGTACCTATCCTACTCTGGGGCCTGCCACGCTTTACCAGGCAACTGGGGACTCCACTGCTCCCCGACACTCGCTGAGCTGGCACAACCAACAGGGATGTCCATAGCCTTAATGGAATGAGCTGCATTGGCAGACCACGGCACCGTGCTCTGAGGATGCGCCAGGCTCCGTGTCCTGCCTGCTAGAAGGCTGTGCTTGTTGCCTTTCACACAGTCTCCATGCAAGCCTCTGCAGGAGGCGCCTTTCTAGTCTAATCTAATTACATTTTCTTGCCTGCTGGCGGAACATGTTGGCTTTGGGACAGAGACTGAGGGCTGGAGATTTGATTTGGACCCAACTTGCGATTCATTAGTGCTGGGATTAAGAACTGACCGATTCGTTTCCATGCTGGCAGAAGCTTGTTCCTTGCTTCCTGCTGGACAAGTGCTGGGTCTGTAACCTTTAAGCCCTGCCCAGCCCTCAGCCCTCTGCCATTTTCACTCAATCCCCACACAAAGGGTGAACAACATTTGCTGATACCGTGTCCTATCTAAGAAACAGGGTTGCCATCTCATGGAAATGATTGGCTGCCTCTTTTATAAGGGCCATGTAGACTGGCTCACTCTGCTGTGACACACTGGGCAGAAGAAGGTTTCCCCACCAAGCCTGGAATCACAAAGAAAAAGATGTCAAACCGACAACACCCATGGGCTGTGCCCCCAGTATGTGTAAGTGGGACGTGCGTGGGACGTGCAGCTCCTGGGAGAAGCACTCACTCCTCCCCTCAGCATCCCCCCCACGTAGGCCATCGTTCACAGACTCCTCATAGAAGCCATTTAATGTTAGCATCCGCGTTAATACCATCCAAAGCAAGCCGAATGTTCCCAGGCAGCAGAGCGTGAAGAATTCATCCTGTTTGGGTACCAGTCTCCAGCTTCAAATTAGTAGATGTCTCAACTCCTCACTTTCTTTCTTTATCATGTTATTTCTTATCTCTTATTTTCATATTTCAAGACTGCATTTTAATATCCCTGTCTGCTTAGCTGCTGCCCTGGTGGCTTCCTGCTGAGGGAAGGAGATGCTGAACCCAGAGCTTGTTTCTGAAGGCAATTCTTCAGCTCACAGTTCTACACAGGGAGGGCATGGCACTGAGCTGCTGCTGCAAGGAGATCCTGGGAGCTGAGCAACTTCCTCCCAGCTGTGTGTCTAATAGATGTACCTTAGAGACCCGCAGTCCAGCATCCACACAGGGGATGTATTGGAAACCCACTGCCTTAGAGAGGGGCTCTGATCACACCAAAGCAGAGGTAAGGGGAGAAGATGGGGACAAGGAGACAAAGAGGACACCCTGCCTCTGGGAGATACGTACCATGAAACAGACACATGGCGTCTGCCCTGCCCCCAGGAGGTAAAAAGCCTTCGGCCAGTCAGCAGGAGATTTCAAACCATTTCTCAGACACAAAGGCCACAGGGATGAGATGCCGATCTGCAGACGAGGATCTATGGAGAGCAGAGGTCTGTGTGAGCTGTGTGAGCTGTGTGAGCTGGCACATACATGGCCAGCAAACTGGTCAGACTGCAGGGGGAGTCTGTTCTCTGGAGATGGGTCTTTACCAACCTCCAGATAGCAGAGACCACCATGGTCTTGCAGGTTCACCAGCAGACAGGGTGATGGATGAGGGGCTGGGGGACTCGGGTGTGGAAGCAGGATGGCTGGCCATCCCTCCCTCTTGTGCTATCTCCAGATGCTGGCTTTGGGATGAGCCCAGAGCCAGGGTCTTTGCTTCCATAGGCCAGACTAGATGCATAGCATTACACAGGATAGAAAGGACAAGACCTAGCTCCTACAATGTCCCCCTTACATTTTGTCATTGGAACCAGGTGACTGTGATGGTTAGCTTCAATTACCAGTTTGACACAACCTAGGATCACCTGGAAGAAAGTCTTAATGAGGGATTGTGTAGATCAGGCTCGCCTGTCAGCCTGACTGTGAGGGGTTAGTGTGGTTGTGAATTGGTGCGGAGAGAATTCAGACCACCATTAGTGGTGCCATTCCCTAGGCAGGAGACCCTGAACTGTATAAACAAGCAGGCAGGCATGCGCTTGTTGACTTCTCCCCACTCTAGACTGTAGATGTGACTGGCTGTATTAAGCTCTTGCTACTGTGAAATCCCTGCTGTGATGGACTGAAACCTGCCATCGTAAGCTGAACAAACTCCTTTCTACCCCAAACTGTTTTGTCAAGATGTTTTATCACAGCAACAGGAATGAAGCTGGCAACTAGCATGTCCCAGGCCCAGTGGCAGGCACCAGTGTTATCCTCTTGAATCTGCATCAGGGTATGAGAGTGTTAGCTACCCATCCTCTACAGCTGAACATAGGCACGACATACTTGCTCACTAAAGCCAGGGGCACAGGAAGGAGCATATGAACTGTGGTCACTGCGGTGGCCAGAAGAGCTGGATGTCCAAGCCCACCTCTGCTTATTGGTGAAGCCGCAAACAGGACGGAAGGTGCAGGGTGACCCATAGCTGACCTCCCACCCAGGATCCCAGGGACCCTCTTATCCAGCTGCTGACTGGGGAGAGGAGAGGGGGCCTTCAAGTCATATGAGGAGTCTGCTAACTGCCTCATTTCTTTCTCTTTTTTCCGCTAATTTACAAATGATGCATGGATGCACAGTCACTTAAAAAATAGCTTATTGATATTTTAATTTAATGCTGGACAAACCTTGGGCAGCTGACTCAGGGGTTTCTCAGCCGTTCCCAGGGATGGCTGGAGAAGTGTGTCCTCTTTGAGGGATCACCCATGAATAATAAAAGAGCATTTAATAAGAGACTCCGGCCTGGAGTCTGCTTGGTATTTGCTATTTTTCTGAGCTGGCTGCTGACATTTTATTGACAGAGTCTCAGAGACGCCGACTGTGGGAGGGACCTGTCATAATTTGCTGATGCTTCAGAGAGCAGTGAGTACTTGGCTGGCTTTGAACCCTGAGACTGAGGGTGGGGGCAGACATTCAGCCTCCAGGCATGGTAGTGAGGGGCTGGGAATCCGTCTTCGTGCCTGTCTTGAGGTCTGAAATACATTTTTCACTATGGTTGCTCCTGAGCTCCCCAGGCTGGCTGTGCACCTGCTGATTCTCCTTCACTCCTTTTGTTTTGACAAATGAGCTATCTGCATGTGCTGGGTCCCTGAGAGAGCTACAGAGCGACCAGACAAGACTGCAGTGTGGGTTCACCCACACAGAACTTGGAGACTGGACACACAGAGCTCACCGGTTTCCATTGAACGTGGACTTGTACTCCCCAGTCGAGTGCAGGGTCTCATCGGTGTACACGGGCACGGATGCCCTGACACACTCGTGGGAACACTGCAGCGTCTCATTGTAGGCTGTGAAGATGTCCACGCTGCTGGGCACCCGGGCCGGGGTGAAGTCCGTTAAGTTCTGGCAGCTTTCCTCCTGCTGGTTCATCTTCCTCTGGTTGCTGTTCCTCCGAGTGTGCCCACTTGGGGCACAGCTAGGAGAAAGGAGAGAGAGAGAGGCTTGTGTGGGGGTGTGGGGGTGGGCAGGCGCTGCAGCAATGTACCGACCTCTCCCGCACATCCGCGGCAAAGCCCTCACTGCCAGGCGTCATCTATATTACACAGTAATTCTCGGCCTCTTCAGAAAGATCAACCACAATCAAGTAATCAGCTCCCCTTTTTTTCAAATATAAAATCTGAATTTTAAATGTGGCTATTATCACAAGAGAGCTTGGAGGTGAGTGGTGAGGCTATGGGGACCTTGTTTGCCTAAAGAATGTCAGCTAGACTGAGGGGGCTGACTTGGTTTCCCTCTGATGCCGTAATGGGATGGACAGGTAGATAGTACTCTCTGCAGGAGGGCCTGGGCAGGATGGCAGGGGTCTCTGGGGATAGCCTGGAGTGGAAGGCTGTTTGCTGTTGGGTGAACTGTTGAGAGGGAGCCCCTGGCAGTCACCTCACCCAGAACACACAGGAAATTGACTTGGGTTCGTCTTTGCCAGGGTCTGACGAAGGAATGCTCTCATGCCCATGAGCTCCACCTCACTCTCCACTGCTCTGGCTATGGGGGCTTCCGGCAGCCACGGAGGACAAACTGGGGACACACTGTGATCTGTGAAGGATTTCATGTGCAATGAGAGGCAGCCTTGAAGCAAGGTGCCCTGTCTTCTGTGGGCCTCACTTTACTCCTTGCCTCTTCCCTGCCCCTCCTCATTCACCCCTGGCCGCTCTCCCAGAGGGAGGGGTGACCTGTCCTGGAAGTGGGTCACAAGTCTTCTCTCCTGTGTGTGTCATGATGCTGCACTGCCCCACACGCATGTGGTTTTGTGCCCCCTACATACATGTGGACCCGTGCCCCCACACGCATGTGGTTCTGTGCCCTCCACATAAATGTGGACCCGTGCCCCCACACGCATGTGGTTCTGTGCCCTCCACATAAATGTGGACCCGTGCCCCCACACGCATGTGGTTCTGTGCCCTCCACATAAATGTGGACCCGTGCCCCCACACGCATGTGGTTCTGTGCCCTCCACATAAATGTGGACCCGTGCCCCCACACGCATGTGGTTCTGTGCCCTCCACATAAATGTGGACCCGTGCCCCCACACGCATGTGGTTCTGTGCCCTCCACATAAATGTGGACCCGTGCCCCCACACGCATGTGGTTCTGTGCCCCCTACATACATGTGGACCCGTGGCCCCACATGCATGTGGATCTGTGCCCTCCACATAAATGTGGACCCGTGCCCCCACACGCATGTGGATCTGTACTCCCCACGCCACATGCATATGAACCATACTCCCCCCCAGCATACATGTGGACCCGTGCCCCACCTCCTGCCCCAGAAACTCTGTGGGAGCTTCTTCACCATCCATGTGTCCTGGATCCGCCAGGGACCCACCTGCCTATCAGATGTGAAGCCGGTAGAATGGGGTTTGTCCTGGGCTGTGTCCTCCCATTTGCTACCTACCTTTGGCTCCCCCATTTCTGGGTTTGTCCAGTTGCTGGGGCCCTACTTGTCATGCATATGTATCTGGGAATCGTGGGGTACACACACTGCTCCACTGGTGTGCTTGAGCTTCGAGGCTCACAAGCAACTGACGCCCAATGGCTTCGGGTAGATCTGAGGTTCAGGTGCCACAGGCATCGAGGAGCCCTAGCAGCCCCCCTCAGTTTTTTGGGTTATGTCAGATGTACACACCCAACAAGGCTAGCCTCAAAGCAGGCCACTTTACAGGAGGGAACAGGGAAGGAGAACCCCCTGCAGCAAGGCAATGACCTAGTTTGGGGGCAGAGAACTGCTGCTGCTCAATGGGGAAAAAGAGATGAGGAGGCTGGCTGGCTGGGTGAGCTGCCTTGACCTCAGTGGAGGGCAGGGGTCCAGGAGTGGCCTGAGCATGCTGCTGCTGTTTCTCTGCCTTTCGGAGGTATGACATGGACTGCAACATACATAGATACAGGTGTGTCCCAACAGTCCTTGGTAATGGGAGAACCGTGTATCCTGGGAAACTGTGTCCTGTATGTTGGGCTTACTACCTCTTGCACAAAAGCCACACTTGGGGGCTACACTAGAAAGCAGACCCAGCCGAAGTCACTGGTGGCCAAAGTGCCTGTGGCTGGAGTCACCTGGGACCTCCCATTCCAATGGGAATGCAGCCTGTAGGCTACCACTCAGGACACAATGTCTGATCTGAATAGGGTCTTGTGTATCACAGGCCATGGAGCTGAAGATGACCTTGAACTTCTGATCCTCTTGCCTCCACTTCCTGAGTGCTGGAATCGGAGGCACGAGCCAACACACTCGGTGTGTGAAGTGCTGGGATGGAAGCCAGGCTTTCACGCAAAGTTGGGCAAGCATTCTGCCAACAGAGTTCACGTCCCAGCCTCTAGGCATGGTCTTAAGAAGTTGGGGCTCACTGTGCAGACCTCCCTGAGTACCCCACAGCCCACCGCTCCCAGGCCTTACCAATTTTTTAAGACAAGAGTTGTGATGAGTGCAGCGATGACCATGATGAGGGAGACGGTGATGGTGATGATCTGATGTACAGCCAGACCTGGAGGGGAGGAGACAGAGGCCAAGGTCAGCACAAGGGAGGGGCCAGGGCAGGCTGAGGGACGACGGAGGTATGCTTAGGAGTTTGTCTGCAGCACCAAGGCTGTTCTCACCTGGGACCAGAAAGGGTGTCTCCAGCCCTGATCTCTTCCTTTCTCATTCTCAGTGTCTCTGCAGGGACGTGGCCAGGGCCGCTGTGCCCTCAACCTGCTGCTTTGATCTGAATTCCAGTAACTCTGCTGAGATTCCCAAGCCCTGTCCCCCTTCCCCTTGCCTGGTACAAATGAACGGTCTGCTTCTCTATTCTAGAGACAAGGGCATGGGGGAGGGACCAGCCTAGCCCTGAGATTCCCAAGCCCTGTCCCCCTTCCCCTTGCCTGGTACAAATGAACATTCTGTTTCTCTATTCTAGAGACAAGGGCATGGGGGAGGGACCAGCCTAGCTCACCTAGGATGTCTAGGAGAAGATGGGTCCCCCAACTGTAGACCCTGAAGTCACTCTCCCTAGGGTTGTCCCTAGAGCCCTCCCCATCATTCGCTGCCTGTAAAGTTAGTTCCTACCAGTGAAAGAACACGAGGTTGCTATCACCTGGCCTTGTAGCCCTGTCCCTCTCCCCAGTGAAGAATGACACTGGACAGGACCATGGAGTTGGCAGAATGGGGATAGACAGGCAGGAGCACTTCAGCAGCAGGACAGCCAGAGCCTGGCAAGCATTTGCTGGTTCTGCAGATGGCCAAGGTCAGGACTTCTCTGTCATTCCCTCTCCAGTGCTCCTAACCAGTGCAATGCAGGGAACAGGGGAAGAGGCAGGTAATAGCTCCCATCTCTGGTTCCACCCTAGGCCACATTCCTTCTGGATCTCATCTGTCACAGCCTTCCTGGGACATGAAAACACAGAGTGTCCCCAGCTGACTACTGGCAAGCCAGAGTGGTCTGCAAGGTACACAGCCCCAGCTCTTTCCTGATGTTGGTAAATATGGGACCTGAAAAGAAGACTAAGGCAGCTTGGGGAACCTCCAGGGGAAACCATACAGGCTCTGTCCTGTCTCTACCTGACACCCAGTTCTAACACCCACTCTCCAGACTCCAGCTCCTCACATCTGATAGATCTAGGGTGTTAGGGCATATGTTCCCGTGTGGTAGACTGGCAGTGTTCAGAGGTTGCTGGCAGCCTCCCAGAGACCACCGCACAAACAGATGTTACTTTTCCTGCTAAACGTGATCATCAAGGGAGACTGTTTCATGAATGATTCCAAGTTGGCAAGGCCAGAACACATGTCCTGACTCCCCCCTCCCCCACCCCCATCTTCTGTAGGGAAGTGCCATTTTCATGAAGGATTCCCACTCTGGTCTACAGAAAGAGCATCGCTAAGAAAGAGTGGGCTGACACAAGATTGTCATGGCCGCCCTCCAGGTTTATCTGTTGATTCAAGAGCCCCTGGATGGTAGATTTTCTCTGTGCTGCATGGTGCTGATAGTGGCCATCTTAACTGTCATGGCTGTCTTCAGGAGACAGCAGTTCAATGCCATTTGCTTTGAAGTTGAGACCTCATCACTCATCTTGGCCTGTGGCTTCCCATACACCTGTGTTCCCTTTGGGGCACTTGCTTCAGACCTCTGGGTGAATATCCTACTACTCCAAGACACTATTTGGCTTCCCAGGAGGGGTTAAAGCCAAGCTATACTGCAGAAGCCACCTTCAATCTCACCAACAGGAAGGAGTCTCTGCTCCCTGGGGTCTGAGAGCCACCAAAGATCTCCCAGGCAGAGAAATGGTGAAAAGGACGGACAGGTTAATGGAGAACCATAGAAAGGGTGCTGCCCACCCAGCGTCCTGTCACGCTGCATCCACCTTAGCACGGTTGGTGGAGAGGTAGCTATGTCATTCTGAAGAGATATGCAGATGGTGTGCCCGAGGGTACAGCAAGGAGGAGGAGGAGAAAGCTGATGGTAAAGACAGTGGTGATGGGGATGGTTACAGTAGCTACGGGAGCATAGATGACGGTGGTGACGGTGATGGTGGTGGTGGTGATGGTGGTGATGGTGATGGTGGTGATGATGGTGATGATGGTGGTGATGATGATGATGGTGATGGTGGTGATGGTGGTGATGGTGATGGTGGTGATGGTGATGATGGTGATGATGGTGGTAATGGTGATGATGGTGATGGTGATGGTAGTGATGGTGACCACAGTGATGGTGATGATGTTATAGTGGCAATATGCTGCTGCTGTCAGTAATGATGGCAATGACTGTGGTGATGGTTGTGGTGATGGTGGTCACAGTGGGCATGGTGATAATGGGGATAAAGGTGATAGATGGTGAAGATAGATGATGAGTGGTGGTGACGGTGATGGTGATGGTGATGATGATGGTGGTGATGGTGATGGTGATGATGATGGTGATG